TTAAAAAAAAAGAAATTCAAAATGACTGTTGTTTTGGCAGTCCTTGCTTTTCCCGTTAGTAGTAAATGTTACATTTCCGCTCAGCACTTTTGGGTTAATAATGAACCGAGTCCATCTGATCAGTGACAAACACACCTTTCTTTTCACAGTTTGTTCTCAGTGATTTCAAAGCATCCTCTGGAATCACAATCTTTAAAAACAAGACAGCATCTCTTTGTTGCTGTAGAAATTAAAGTCAACATCAGAACATTATGAGCTGAGGGGTTGACCTAACCTAGTTTATTAAAGCCCAGTCTAATATGTATAATGTGATTCATTTCGACCCAGTCAAAAACAGGCCCTGGAATTCTTAAAACATATTGGAGGATTGGCTCCTGGATAACCAGTGTTAAGCAGTATAACATGACGAATAGTGGTTAGTATGTGTGTATGCAGGAAAGTAACCTGGAAAGAATTCTGAAGATGTCACTTCCCATGCACACCCACGCCATTGGTATTAAAATACAAATGTATTTTGTTTAAAAATATTTGCCTAGAAAACGCATAGGTTTTTTTTTGGTCAGCCGGGAATCTGACACATCCGGAAACCCGTCACCATGCTTAAGTGTATCCAAACCAAACAGAGTTATGTATATGTACTCAATCTACACATGGAAATTTCCATGTTTGGAATGGAATGCTCACTCTCTCCCCAGAGGGACGTAATTTACTTGTCTTATCCTCGAGAGGGCACAGTCACTACAATTTACCATCAATCCTATGGATCGCTCCCGAAGCCACCACGCCATTTCGTTGAAGAATTACGCCGGGCCAAAGATGGCGGTGCATTGTCAAAGGTCAAATGGCAACCACCAATTAATACTCTTTTATACACTACCCCTGCAAAGCTCTACTGTTAACTGTTCTCCAATGAATTGGAGCTGAAGATTAGAGTCTCTCCAACCCCATCCCAGGACTACACTTGTGTTGATAGTTGGAGTCCCCCATGTCATTAACACGATCCAACCTCCCACCCCAAGCCTAGCCCGTCAGCTCTAGTACAATTAGTAAGTGAAGCTGGTGCCAAAATCTCTCGCATGCCAAACACGATAACAATCCCACTTGGGTCTCCACAGCGCTGATTCAAGATCAGTGATCATTTCTTAGAAATACTTTGGAAACTCAACACTCTTCAGAACATTGGGTGGTTTAGCAATTCCACGTTCATAGTTAAGAACTCTCTGAGGGAAATCCACAGATTAGACCCCAACAGGAACATGCTATGGAACTTGGTCCTTTCCTATTATGATTGAATTTCAAGTCATAAGTAGAGACACACAAAAAAACACACATTTGCAAATGAGTTTTCTGCCTGAAGCAAATTCTGGGCAAACGGTTACATACAATCTTCAGAGGTACCGAGAAAAGCACCTCCTTCAGGCGGGTCTCAATAATAATACCAATTCTTTATTTGAGGGATTATTACCCCCAGAAAGCAATCTGCACCAATCGACTCACAAATGGGTTCTTACTTACGGCAAAGGCATGTGGAGTAAGGAAACTTGCCTAAGGTTTCGCCTCGCCTGGGAATCAAATTCGGGTCCTCTCACTTTCGAGGCGACTGCTCTAACCGATACTCTTCAGGACTCTTCTTGTATTTGGAGCGAGCAATACAACCTCATTTGTTTACAGTGATGCTGGGCTGTGGATGGCAACAGCACTGTAGGTAATTTCAGACAATTATCTTGAATGTAAAGATTTTCTGTTTAAATTGGGGGGGGGTAGTTAGATCATAATCAGATACCATAGCAAGGGCTGAACATACTTGGACCTTTTTCTCTTGAAAAGAGGAGGGTTAGGGGTGACCTGATAGAGGTCTTTAAAATGATGAAAGGTTTTGATAGGGTAGACATAGGGAAGATGTTTCCACTTGTGGGGGAGACCAAAACCAGGGGCCATCAATATAAAATAGATCAAATAGGGAAGTTAGAAGAAATTTCTTCACACACAGAATAGTGGGAATGTGGAACATGCTACCACAAGGAGTTGTTGAGGCAAATAGCATAGATGTATTTAAGGGAAAGCCAGATAGGTATATGAGGAGAAATGAATAGAAGGTTATGCTTGAAAGCTTAGTTGAGGAAAGCCAGAAGGAGGCTCATGTGTAGCATAAACACCGGCATAGACCAGTTGGGCCGAATGCCTGTTTCTGTGCTGTATATTTTAATGTATTTTATTGTAGTGTCTGCCATATGATGGCAACTTTTTTTTAAAAAAAGCTCTAATTTGGGTAATGAAACTCAGACTTGGGCCTGATGGGATGGGGGGAGGAAAGGAAGAGTCCAGCATGCAGTATTTAGGTATGGCTTGTGGAAGAATTTCATTGTATCTGAAAATATCGCCCCCTTCCACTTACCAAGAAATAATTTCCCCCATTAACTAGCTCCACATCAAGTGGCAGCAGCTGAAAACCAGATCCATTTTGGGGCAGGTCTTTCTCATTATCTGCTCAGTGTTGACATTACTTTCTTTCACAAATTACTTCCTTTCAGCAAATTGGAAAATCAACAAGATAGCTGGCTGGATTTGTAATAAGAGGGAGGAGGGAAAAAAAGTTTAGAAAACATAAAGTGCCCAAAGGACAACACAAAATCCTGTAGCTATTCATTGAGAGATCTGGCCTTGTGTGATGAAAAAAATACCTACTAAAATAAAGCAGGCATGAACATTACCTCAGCACTTAGCAAGATCATGAGGACAAGGCAACTTTTGCTTTTTTAACCAACCATGAACCTGGTTAAGGCGAGCGCAGTTTATTCTAAACTTGTTGCGAGGGGAAAAAAGAGAACATGCTGATTTGATCTCTGCCAAAAGTGATAAGCATTCGGAATGCTAGTGATACTGCGTATCCATGCTTTGTGAAAGATTACATGGACTAAGATTGCTTTGATACATCCTCCCTGATGTCCTGACAAGATCTTATTATCATATACAGCAACAGTTCCACAGAAAACGTTGGATAAGTCTGCACAGGACAGCTTAATGAGTTAGTTGGAAGAGAGCCATTTCATGACAAACCAATATTCATACTTCATCTTTTTTTTAATACTATTAAAAATAGTATTAATACTTGTGGCTTTTTTTAATACTATAAAAAATTGCCATTTGCAGGTCAGTAACTTTCCATTTCTCAGAGGTGAGAGGAAAAGAGTGTTAAACACGCTTTTTCTCTTTTAATGAATGACCATGTTATGCACAGTGTTACAAAGCTCACTGCTTCCCTGGTAATGTGATGCAATGATCGTTTTACCAGTTGTGTCTTGTTCCGCAGTGACATACTGGCAAGAGTGTGACCGCACCAACAATCGTGACCACGTTAAATTTTCAGCTTCTAAAAGTTTAATAAAAATGGTTCTGCAAAAAAAATAACTGACACTGCATCAGGTGTTATCTTCCCTGCCTGCAAGGTGAGTTTTTTTAAAGAAACATTCAAGGCCAAGATAGTACTGAATAACATGGGTATTTGGGATAGATGTTTCTTGCTCTTCCAAGACCGAGTTAGTGTGACAACAACCTGCAATTATATGGCACCCTTTCTTCGAGCTGCATCTCAGAGTGTTAAGCAGCAGTGTGGTTTGACGCTGAAGTGTTATTACTCAAAAGGGCAAAAAAGTAATTGTTCCTTAAAAAAAAGGGATGTAGGTCACAAATATCCGAGTCATAAGACCAAAGTGATTTTTATAGACACTGGGTATTTTCTAATTCAGTCTGTAGCTGACAACTCAACAGACCATCACTCACGCACCCACAACATACAAGGCAGGCTGAGATATTTATTGAACATTGAAGCACTTTGCACTGTCAAATAAGGATGATTAAGGCTCTCATTGTCTGTAAGATCCCATTGTGCTCCTGTGTCAAACGTTCATGTGCTCCCATTGTCCTAAATCCCTGACTGTCCAGCGCCTTGGGTCGTCCTACCGACGTGAAAGGTGCTGTGCAAACACAATGTGTTGTTGTTGTGTAGTAAGGGAAGCTTGGTAGAAGATTAAACACTTTGGTCACAAACAACAACAGCTGGAAGGCACACAACAGGTAGCCAAGTCTATACTCTATTTCAAACCCGTGAATTCAAAATCAGTCAAGACATTCCGATTACCTGGGGCTTTAATTAAAAAGGGCGCAGTCTTTAAAGGAAAGGGGCATAGCAAAACCATATCAGTTTGAAAGTGGGGAGGATAGAGTCATGTGACAGTATCATGTGTATTTTGGCACAAATTACATGGTTGTGTTTGTGTATTTATAAAATAATGATACTGCTTGCCAAATACTTTTTTTTTAAAAAACAGATAGTGCCCTTTTAACAACAAGCTTGCATTTATATCATGCCTTTCACAAAAAAGAAAACGTCTCAAAGCGCCGCACAGAATGAGAAGAATTGGAAATGAAGTGGAGGAATGTTGTTATGTTGGATTTACAGTCCAGCACACAAGCTGCTGCATTCCACCTTTCAGAATTATTTCCATAAGTTACCAATGAGGTCAAGGGACACCAACAGTTAAAATCCAAACCTTTGAGCAAACAAATATATGGAGGTCTGGAGGTTGTCTTACTATAAGGCTGCAGTGTTTATGGTCGTGCTGGCTTTGTGTGCTGATGGCACAGACAGAAACACTGCCAAGAAGCTCACATCTGTAACATCGTGAACTTTCCAGTGATGGTGAGCAGAATTATATAACCACCACAGATACATGTTAAACAAAGCTTAAATGTTCAGTGTCAGACAGTAGAGGCGAGGAACAAAACACAATCATTGAATTGGTTTGTAAACTATTTGCTATGAAAAACATTTTTAAACATTTTTTAAAAAATTAATTTTTCAACTGGAAAAAAAACCTCTGGAATAATACTTATTCCTTTCACTTTAGCCTCTCTCGCCATTTGATTCAAATGAAATAAAATCAGATTGTACGGGCTTGTTCGAGAAAGCACTGAGCTCTCCAATATAACCGTAGTCGTACCTTGGTGAATTATAGTCACCAGCTGTTGCCTGGCAATCATCCTGCTCATCCTGTACGGTGAACGGCGACGTGACTGATCCAGCCTCAGGTACATGTCCTGCCCCTGAGGTGAGAGGGAGCTGAAATAGGCACAGCCTGGGCTGGGTGGCAAAGGTATCTCCCTGAGCATATCTGCAGCAATGCTGATTAGATTTCCAGGCACACGTATTCACTCCCACAAGTTTCTGGTCGGCTTATAGCCTGAGCCACTAACAAGGAAGCGTAAGAGAAGCACTGAGCTCTCTTTGAAAAGTTTCAAGCAGACTTCAGCAGAGGAGGGGCAAATAGCATAGCAAAATTCCAACTCATGCATCACATGACCAGGAGGATCCAGTGAGTCAAGGGGCTGGACCTGAAGGCAGCATTTGATAACAGTCAATTGGTGTTTGCAAATGTTAGTAATCTGTTGTAACCCCACATACCTCAGAGCTGACGAGGCACTCGGAAATCTGATGGGAGGATTTTATACCATGCAAGATCAAGTGACCCCAACCCAGTGAAAGCACCGAATATAAACCAGGAATGTTTTCTCTATTAAAATAACAATTTGGTGACTCAAATAATAATTTGATGACTGTTTTGTGGGACACGGCTGTGCACAATTGGTTGCCATGTTTCCCACAAAATACACCGTCAATTCACTTTACGGTATATTCTGTGAAGCGCTTTGAGACATCTCAAGACGTGATAAGGCACTATATCAAATGGAAGGATTTTTATTATTATTATTAATAATAACCCACCACATTCATGAAGTACACACCTGCACTCCTGACAATGTCCAGTGTGTTCTGCTTCAGTGGGGGTCTTTGATAATATTATCAGTCTATCTTAACAGTCTCTGTTTTTTCAAACTTGGGGGAAGAGGGAGCTGGATGGAGGAGTAATACTGCACTTTGAACGTTGATATCTTACACTGGCACATGCGATGGAATATTATAATTGGTGTTCCTCACTCAGAAAGCAGTGAGCGTGCGCAGCTGATAAATAGGGGTTCATTTAGCAACAGCATGGTTTCAGTGAACATTCTGCCTGCCCACCTGGCTCACCTAATAGATGGAGTGGGAGTGTTTAATTGACAGCTATTGGGAGAGTGTACTGAAAGGGAACAGGCAACAACAGGCCCACAAAAGAATTTCAATCAGCCTCTCTTTTCCTTTTTACGCCAGTTGTCTCTGTCGCTATCGTTTTTTTTTACTTTACAAGCAACCAGCAACTGTATGAGACACACCAATCCTGCTGTACAAAAACTATCATTTACATAGCATACTTCACACCAGGAGGATGTCTCAGAGCACTTCATAGAGTTGCCTGGGGTTAGCGCTGGAGGCGGGGGGAGAAAGGTAGTTGAAAATGCAGTCAAAAAGATAGATCTTAAAGTGGGTTTGGAGGGAGGTAAAGGGAAGCAAGGATTTTTACCACTTTACTATCATTCCTGCAAGCCAAAGCCCTAATGGGTAGGTGTTTCTAGCTGGACAAGCAGAGGGAAGCTGTGCATTTTCTCGCTGGTTAAATTGTAAAACCAAAAACAATAATAAATTGGTCATTTTCAATCTACGACTGTTTGTGGGACATTGCTGTGCGCAATTGGCTGCGCGTTCGCCCACAAATATACAGTCAATTCACTTTACAGTGTGTTCTGTGAAGCGCTTTGGGATGTCCTCCCGACGTGAAAAGCGCTATATCAAATGCAAGGATTATTATTATTATGCCTTGGGTCAACATTTTTCTCTCCTCCCCGCTCGGTGCTCACTATCATCTCTGGGAAGCACCTTGAGGCATTCTCCTCATTGAATGGTGCTTTATAAGTGCAAGCTGTTGTTGCCCATTTCACCACTGGTTCAAGATGCTGATCACTATCCTCCTTGGTTGGGGAGAAGATAAGCAGGGTCTTCTTGAATCTGAACTGGCATCAAAGCAACAGGTTTGACAACAGAATGTCAGATTTGAGTCAACGCCCCGTGGCAGTCTCAGAAGACTGGTTCCTGAACCAGGCTGGTCTTGAGTACTCCAGGGCATTACTGATGACAGCCCAGTCAGCCTGGCTCATCAGCAGGACTTTGAGGGGCAGAATAGTTACTGGGGATTGGATTGTTTCCATTCAGCTCCTGTTACCCCTAAAAACAAAAGCCCAAATGGGTGGTCCTAGCTGGCTAAACAGGACACTTGCCAATGCTTTCAATGGCAAATTATAGGATTTTAGCTGGTTAAACTACAGTAGCACCCCAAAGGAAACTCTGGGGTTCACAATCTTTGGCTCCTGCCAACCTGAGGCCAAAACTCTTTGGAATTAGTTACGCAGGCTGTGGTGTCTCTGTGCAGAAAGTGCACATTCCATTCCAAACATGGAAATTTCCATGTGTAGATGGGATTCACTGAACTTTTTTGGTTTGGATGCTCTTAAGCATGGTGATGAGTTTCTGCTTGAGTTACTTGGCTGACCAAAAAAAAATTTACATTGCTGCTGAGGCTTCATTCAAAGCCAAATATCAGGTTTCTGAATGCTTTTCTGAAGTTGAAATTTACAAAGTCAGAAACACAAGTAATTGTGTGTCAACCATCTGGAGTCAACGATAGAACATCTCACAGCCAGAGGTCCAAATAACAACTCTTGAGTATGTGAAATTGGAAAATGTGGTTTGCTACAAAGTACACGTGTATAAATATTGGGTCAGACAAGATTGGCTTGGTCTTAGTGACTCTCTGTAGTTGGAGATCTTGAGGCATATGTAGAGTATAGCCTCGCCAGCGAGAGACCTTGGTTCAATTCCCGGCAAGTCAAAACCTTGGGCAAGTTTCCTTGCTCCACATGCCTGATAATAATCCTTCAAGAAAAAAATACAATAATAATTTGGTCACTCAGTCCACAACTGTTTGTGGGACACATTGGCTGCTGCGTTTCGCTCACAAATATACAGTCAATTAATTCACTTTACAGTACATACTGTGAAGAGCTTTGAGACATCTAGAAGACGTGAAAAGCACTATATCAAATGCAAGGATTATTATATTAAAACATTTTAATAATAATCCTTGCATTTGATATAGCACCTTATCTTGCCGTCGAGACATCTCAAAACACTTCACAGAATATACTGTGAAATGAATTGACTGTATATTTGTGGGTGAAACATGGCAGCCAATTGCATACAGTAACATCCCCCAAACTGTCATGGATTGAGAGACCAAATAATTATTATTTATTATTTTTTGGAAGGGATTATTAACCCTGGAAAGTGATCAGCCAATCAACTAACAACCATGTTCCTACTACTTGGTAGACAAACAAAAGCGTGTGGAGTAAGGAAACTTACATAAAATAAATCCCTGCCCGGGAATCGAACCTGGGTTGGGGAATAAATACCTACAGTTACTCAAGGTAGGAGTTCAGAAGAGATGTGACAGAACTGCACTTACTTCTTCCTTCATGACTGTGTAAGTAAATGTTTCCTTCCAGTTTAAATCTTAGCATAAAACAAATTAATACAACATTGCTACCTCCGTCGCCAGTGAATTCCTGGAAATCACCTCCATGGCTCTGTCCCTTTCTTCATTGATGAACAGTCAAATAATAGGCTCTTTGCAACACCTACTTATATCTCTAACTCTGACACAATAATAAAGGTCTTCTATTATTCTATCGTCTATGGTGCAGAAAGGAGGGCTTCAGGTTCCTGGATCATTGGGATGAGTTCTGGGGCAGGTGGGACCTGCACAAGGTGAATGGGTTACGCCTGAATAGGGCTGGGACAAATGTCCTTGCAGGGAGGTTAACTAGTGCTGTTGGGAAGGGATTTTGAGGGGGGAAAGGGAATCAAGACGGAGCATTAGAGAGGACAAACAAGCTACATGGGAGAGACGAATAGCAATGTATTAAGGAGTAATCCAGAAAAAGTACAGATTAGATGAAGGAGAAATGCAGAACAGACTAAGTTAGTCTTGGAGTGCATGTGCGTAAATGCACAGAATGTGACAAGATTGGTGAGCTACAGGCTCAAGTTGCCACATGGAGTTATGATGTAGTGGCAATAACAGAGACCTGGCTCAAACAAGGGCAGGAATGGGAGCTGAATATTCCTGGCTACAATGTATTCAGGAGGGATAGGGAAGGAAAAAAAGGAGGGGGAAGTGGCAATATGCAATATTGATTAAAGATACGGTTACGGTCCTGGAAAAGGACGATGTGCTAGAGGGTCCCAAAATAGAATTTATTTGGTTAGAGTTAAGGAGCAGAAAAGGAGCTGTTACTCTGTTAGGTGTATACTATAGACCGCCAAATAGTGGGAAGAAGATACACAAGCAAATCTGGAAGTAGATTTCGGAAAGATACAAAATCAATCGAGTCGTGATAATGGGGGACTTCAATTATCCTAAGATAGACTGGCAATATAACAGTATAAAGAGCAAGGACGGGGAAGGATTCCTGAAATAGCGAGTTGTTCAGATCTGGAACGCATTGCCTGAAAGGGTGATGGAAGCGATTCGATAACAACTTTTAAGAGAGAAGCAGATACTTATTTGGGGAGGACAAGTTTGCAGGCCTATGGGGAGAGAACGGGGGAGTGGGATTGATTTGGAAGCTCTTTTCAAAGAGCCGGCACAGACATGATGGGCCAAATGGCCTCCGTCTGTGCTGTATGATTCTATGATTCTAATTCTATAGGTAATAGGGAAACTCCTGATGCCTTAAAATAACATTTCATGAAGAAGACCACAACTTTTTCTGGTTGTTAAACACACACTTTCAAAGCGTCCTATCACTATAACAGGCTAAAGTTGGCATTTTATTTGAAACATTTATGAAGTACACCTCTGCCTATTCTGAAACAAAGCAGAAATACTGGCTAGATATCAAAATCTCACATTAATGAACGGTGTCACCTAAGGTTCTTGATATTGGCTTTCTTCTGTTTAATTCGGGAGAAATAAGCTGCTGGTACAGCAGCTCTCTTGTGAACTGAGCAACTGCAAAGTTGTTTATTAACTAAATGACTATCTGATAAAGCTATTTCATTTCAGGTTTTGTGGATATGCATCATGTTTTGGAATACTAACAACAGGAATGTTTAGTCAAAAAAAATCATTTGTATTTTTGAACATCTTATCACATTGAAATGATAGAAAGACCTTCACAGGTCATTCCTGTCAGGGCTATTGGTTGTTTGTGTAGTCACATTGCACAATCAAGGTCCTTCATCCAGCCATGAGATGAATTACCAATTAAATTGAAG